CGTCCGAGAGTCCTGAAATTTTCCTGATTTTCTTAGCAAGAGGTGGTCAACGGTGTCATAAAAAGCAAACTTCTTGTTTTTCTTCCGTATTGAAAGCGCTGCAATTGAGCTGTGGTCGGTTGACCTCCGCTCCTCTCGTATTCCACCAAAAATCCGAGAAGGCCCTACTTGGACGAGGTTGAACTTGAGCAGTAAGAACTCCCGAAGCGTTTGAGCTGGACTACGCCGCTTGTTTATTTGTTAGCACACTGTACCCACTCCTCATCTTCGGCAAATGTGATGGATGGTCAATCGAAGAATCCATAGTAAGTCGACTTGAACATGACGATGTCAGATCGTGTTTGGAGCTGAATCGGGCTCAAGGCATGTGGGATCCAAACTCTATATTTTCGGATCTTCACAAGTCTTTGGAGATGCCACAGTGCTGTCTCCTTGTCGCATCAGAATTGCTCTAGCAAATGCAAATATCTATCCAGATCCCTTTTCAACAGCGTCAGGTAGAGCATCGTGATTGCCAGTCACAGGGTGGTTGGAGTGTGGATCATCTTCAAATAAAAAAGTCAACGCTGAGCAGAGTGAAGCGCCGGTGCACCGTGAATTGAGAGAGCGTGCCCTCGCCCATCTTCTGGCTAATCCTTGGTGTAGCATGACTTGCGGAACATTCCAAGCAGTACTCGTAAAAATTAAGGGCACGAAGAGCTTTTCGCGAAATCGGTGTAATATCCATAACAAGTAGCGAGACAACGAGCTGGACGGTTGGCTGAAATTGCAAAGGTGGATGCTACGTCAACAAATATGTTGCGGATTTTCGGAGTTCTCACAAAAATTCTCTAGCATTAAATGTAATTTGTTGCAAGACTTATGGACCAACCTAATAGATACAATGCTGATGGTGAGTTAAAACTCCAGGTTAATGATAACAGAAAAAATTTATATTTTTGTTGGAAAATGCAACTTTTCCAAAACTGGCGTGTCAAGTTCCGTAATGCTCCCGAGCCAGGATACATACGCTTCTGTCCAAGCCTAAGAAAGGATGGTGAGAGAGTTGCTCCACATGGATGAGCCTATGGGCAAAAAATAGACGGGACTTGGATATGATGCGAAGGTTGTAGGACACCACTGTCGACAAGTCGACGATACTTCAAGTGATATATTTGGATGATTGAAATTGTTGTTTTTGATTGATTTAAATATGATGTGCATTACATTTTTCTTATGACTCATCGTTTCATGTAACTTTTTGAGATGTTGTGGAAATTCTAGCTCGTGGGTGCCGATTATGTTGTTAGATTCTTAAAAGATATGCTCGCCATACAGTATAAAAGGAGGTGAGGAGAAGGAGCCTGGCAGTTTCTGCTTCAACCACAAGTGCTTACAAGTTCGCCTAGAAAGAGAAACCCACAAGTGCTCCTTCGCCTCACAAGTGGAATTGTAGGTCGATTATTGATTTGTCATAAAGCTGTGCATCAGTACAGTGTTAGGAGCAGTGGAAAAAGTCCCGCGTGGCAGTGTGAACAGTATAAGCTATTCAGAATAGCTGGCGACCAAGTACTAAGGAAACCGAACCGTCCGATCCCTTTCACACATTGCTCATCCACATTGCTTCTCAATTTTCTCAGATGTGCTAAACATCAGAGACGTAGGGCATAGTGGACCCTCCCACTCCACTTTCACCGACAAATTCTACAGCGCTTGCAAGTGTGAATGGAAGCAGCAGTCATCTGCAGGGCTGACACAACTCAATCACTAGGATGCAGCATGCAGACTTAGGTCACCAATACTCAGAAACCTGCTCTTTACTGCAAATATTACTGAAAACATTTAAAATACAGTGACCTCACCTGGCGGAGCACCCGCTTCCGCGGCAGGTGCCGATGGAGCTTCCGCTGCGGCAGGCGCTGATGCAGCCGCTGCTGGCGCTGCAGCTGCAGCAGCAGGAGCTCCTGCTCCATCGTCTTTGAAGTCTTTGAACGCTGCCACATCACCTTCGCTTTCAACGAATAATGCAAAGCAACTGAAAAGCAAGATAACATTATATGAGGTGTAGCGAAAGTTTACCAAAAAGCAAACGCACTTTTCCAATTGGAACGCCCTTCGTGCCTTCAGGAATGCAAATTTTAGCAAGATAGCCCTCTTCCGGTGTCTCAAATCCCATGGTAGCCTTGTCGGTTTCGATTTCACATAGTAAGTCTCCTTCGCCTAGTTGATCTCCCTCTTTCTGAATGTTGAATGTAATAAATAATAAAGAAATAAAGCGTTCAAAAACACAACCTGAGACGAAAAGAGGATATTTTGCCCATTACGAGGTTGCCTGTCTACAGATCTTGCTGTCTCAACAATGAAACTCTAACAGCCACAACCCTATGACGGTCAAGAAAACATCGATCATACTCGACAAACTGCTTGCCATTGGCTGCTGAAGCATGCTACTTGCTGCTTGAAATAAGGACTGCGGTGGCAAAGGAATCACAGGGTCAAGCGTGCGTTGAGGAATCCTCGACACGTCGCAGGGGGGGGGGGTCGTATTGGCCCGCTGGGTGGAAGAGATCGAGCCATTTTGATGCAGTGGGATCATCACCGTCGGAAGACAAATATCAAGGATGAGTCGATGCCAGGCCAGAGGATTTCCAATGAAAATGATATTTCACCCACACAAAATTTTCGTGATTCTGAGGCGTCCGGTAATTCTTAGTTACTTCAGTGTTTTATCACCACACAAGTTAAAGAATCTGAATTTCGCACGCTTTCCAAGAGATATTTCATCTTTCAAGTAAGACCCCGAATCTGAAGGGATGTGAGGTACACGGCGCATCCGAGAAAGGGTCTAGTTGTTGCGCGCGCTTCAACTACGGCTCCTTGGACAAACAACCTCAATTCAGGAACAATCGAGAGAATTCTGAAAGTGTCCGTGCGCATTTACAGGGAGGTGTACACCATTCAACATTGCGTTAACGGACTCTTCAGGGTTAAATTTATAAACATGTAACCTTTAAAGTTGAGAAACGCTAATCAATCACTTTTCTTAGAGAAGAGAAAAGCAGTGATTCCAAATCTGCTCTTACTTTAGTACATAATCGCCCTTAAAAGGATATACAGCCGTTGAAATAGTGCCAATGTAGCGAAAAAGTACCTTTCGGCGGTACTCGTGCGAAAATCCTCAACGTAGCCGTTTTTTTAATACTGGACGTTTGGAGCAGTTCTAGTAAGCATTTGATAGAGCAAATCTTCTAGTTTATGATGGCGTATTTACTTTTCGGATTGGATGAGTTTGAACGGAGTTATGGCTTTAGGAAGTAAAAAACTCGCACTCATCACAAATTTTCCTCGTTAATTTTGCAAAATCCTCAACGTGGCCATTTTTTGAATACTGGACGTATAAGCTGCTTTAGCAACCGTTTGGTAGAGAAAATCTTCTAGTTTTGTATGCCATATTAACTTTTCGAATTTGACGAAAATGAAGCAAGTTGTTGCTTCGGAAAGTGTAAAAACTCGTGCTCATCTCGAATTTCCTCGTTAATTGATCTAAATTTGTTATTTCTTATAACTTTTGTAATTTCATACTGATTAGAAAAAGCTCTTCACAAAACTCCAAATCTGCTTTCAGATTGAAAATTCGTCATATTTGAAGAAAGTTATAATCATTTGAATATTTGTTCAAATTTCAATAGTAAATAAGCTGCTCCACGGTCAACGCCAAAGTCCAGTCAACACACAGCTGGCGAAGGCGGTTAAAAAGCTTCTTTCAACTGAAGGGCTACGTGCAAATTGAGAACCACAATCTGTGTAGTACTAGAATTTGGTAAGTCTTGTGGAGGAAATAAATAAAGAACAGATGTTGTCATGGTATGCCATTTTTATTTTTTTTTTTTTTTTTTTTTTTTTTTTTTTTTTTTTTTTTTTTTTTTTTTTTTTTTTTTTTTTTTTTTTTTTTTTTTTTTTTTTTTTTTTTTTTTTTTTTTTTTTTTTTTTTTTTTTTTTTTTTTTTTTTTTTTTTTTTTTTTTTTTTTTTTTTTTTTTTTTTTTTTTTTTTTTTTTTTTTTTTTTTTTTTTTTTTTTTTTTTTTTTTTTTTTTTTTTTTTTTTTTTTTTTTTTTTTTTCTTTTTTTTTTTTTTTTTTTTTTTTTTTTTTTTTTTTTTTTTTTTTTTTTTTTTTTTTTTTTTTTTTTTTTTTTTTTTTTTTTTTTTTTTTTTTTTTTTTTTTTTTTTTTTTTTTTTTTTTTTTTTTTTTTTTTTTTTTTTTTTTTTTTTTTTTCTTTTTTTTTTTTTTTTTTTTTTTTTTTTTTTTTTTTTTTTTTTTTTTTTTTTTTGTCGTTTTCTGGTCTGTTTCTCGTTTGCTCGTTTGGTAGGACTCATCAATAATGATTATTCTTTGACTTTTTCACTTTTGTACTTCTTAAACGAATTTTTTTGTGGGCGGTGGGGTAGCAGGGCTTTTTTATGAGCAGTTTTGGGGGAGAATTAAACAAGCTTTTCAACCTTTTCATAGTTCGGCTTTTGAAGAGGGTTGTTTCATGGACTTCGGCCTCCGGCGGAGGGGTGGGGGGGGGTCGTATTTCCAAATTTTCCTCGAACGCCTCGCTTGACCCTGTCACAAGGCTATGGCAGCGACGCAAACAGCAACAACCACATGCCAAGACCCCATTCGTCGCTTATGTCGTTCTGTTCTAAACAATCAGTCAATTCGTGATAAAAGTATAGTTGCATTACCTTCTGCCAGCTGACTATGTTTCCGTTTTCCATTGTTGGTGAAAGGCCGGCAAGGCAATACGTTTGTGTGGTGGGAGATTTCCTAAACACTTGATCAAGGAAGATAACTGTAAAGAGGACCGAAATAAGTCTTCCCAATGAGCAGTACCATGCTGAGGATGTGATCTTTACGCCTACTTCTCCTTCACATGTGTGGAAGTAGGCTGGCACAAATGAAGACTTGCTGCGTCTCATTGGCTTCCCCTGACCAGTGACAGTCCATAGACGCTAGTTTCATGGTTAGTTTCTTCATAAGACCCTGTTTTTTAATGCACGAAACTTTGCACTCTGCTAATGATCGCAAATAACGACTTCATATGGGGTTGGAAGAGAGCAAGTTCTAGTGGACGATTCCCTTGATGATTCGGAAGTTCCTGACAGCGACTCACGAACCACTCGGAAGTTCGAAGTTGAGGTGGTTCCGCACATGTCGGTGTTATATTTTGTTGTTATCACATAGAACCATCGGGAATAAATCAAGGCATAGCAGTGACTATCCTACCGAGCTTAAAGGAAGCGATTACGATAAGGAAAGGCCGCATCGGGGGAGCATATGCGCCACACGAAGCAGTTACTTGGCTGCCAAGGAAGCGAAGTGTGGCGCTTTCACGACGAAAGGTGCCTGGTTGCTGAGCAGGACTTCCGAAGCACTCCGCCCCGAAAGCGTTACGCCCACTAGTTCAGTTGGTGACTTGGGCGAGCTGTTTGCTGTTGGCTTTTCATTTTGGAAGATCATTTCCCTTTTAGCGGCTGTATCTTCCAACTTGCCCATGTAATGCCTTATCAATCAAAACACTATGCTTGTTGGCATGATGGCGGCTATCGGGGTTAACACGTCCGAACAACGTCGTTCTTTACCGTCGCTCATCTCAAGCTCAGCTCAAGCTTTGAGGAGACTGTGCACATAAGCTCTATTGGATTCGACTGAGAGTGAAGCTGCCTGCAGGAACCTTCGAAGAGAAGGGTTTTTCAGTGTTTTGATGAGGTTGCAAACTGATTCTTCACAGAAGCTGCTGGATACCTGCACCGCGGTGATGACCATTGTCGGCTCTAACTACCTCTGAAATTTGGCCGAAGCCATGCGTAAAGTTCACCCAGAAATGCACAACATTGTGTTACCCTACCCCCACGCATACCTACATGTGACAAAGGATTACATATCAAAAGATCATGGATTTTGAATTGGGAAATTTCGCAGTACTTGGCTTACTCGTCGGGTTTAGCCGCTTCTAATTTTCAGATAATTAATGCCCT